TGTAAAAGAAAAAAGAAAAAAAAACCCAAAACCTTCAGGAATGATCGCCCTAGCTGAGTGTGGACGTGTACTTCTTTTGTAACAGCTGGTCATGGAAACAGCTTTTCCTTGTGGAGACTTCACAGCAGTCTGGGAGGACTTCTGGGAAGAAGCCTTGGGTGAGGCCCTCATCCTGAGTGGTCATATTTATTCTATAAAAATCACTGGAGCAAAGTGAGGGAGCCAAAAGATCCCAAAGCAGACCCACTAGGATGCCCAGCAAGCCGGCGGTAACGCCACCATGGACGTCCAGAGCAGTAGACATCTGGCTTGGCCCTCTTTCCTCCCTCTGCCCTTCCCTGCTGCCCGCAAGGGTGCGTGGGGATGGCAGCAGTAAAGAATGCGTGAAGACTGACAGGAGCTTGGTCCTGCAGGGCACCCGCCTTTAACCTCACCCCTCCTGGCTCTAACTAAACCTGTTGCACTCTGCTCCCCAAACTGAAAAAAACAAAAATGCTGCAGGAAGAAGAAGGTGAGTCCAGCAAAAATACCATCCCCTGTCAGTTGTTTGCGAACTCTTTCAACAAACAACATACCTCGCACCAGGCACCGTTTCACGTTCTGGGGACACAGCTGTGACTGACGGTGCAGATAATGAGCGAGTAACTGGAAGGAGCCGTAGTTGTGTGACCACGACAGCCCGGCACAGACTCGATGAAACAAGTCTTCCCGAATCTTCCCTACCCGGCACCCCACAAAACTCAGCCCAGCGGCCCTTTTCATTCTGAGAGTTCTGCCGCTTATCACGGCAGGAACCAAGATGAGTTCGTCATTTCTGACATTTTATAATCAGCTGAGAGCAATCCTTAACTTTCGTCTTCCTACTTCCTTTTGGGGTAGTTGGTGGGGAAAGGGCATATTGTATACAGCTGGCCAATGCATTCATGCAGCCATAAACTATTAATGGTGTATTATAAGCCAGACACTGTGCTAAGCGCTGAACAAGACTGCCTCAGTCCCGGTCCATAGTGAACTCATGGTCCGACAACCCGTGAGTCTTGGGATGGCAGATTATTTTTAAAGCAGGAAAAAGTCCGGGTAGGAGTGCAATGAAATGAGGGGGTGCAGGGTTATAGGAATACAGAGCAGGAACTCCTAACATAATCAGAGAGGGGACTGTGGAAGGGTCAAAGAGAAACACTCTGATTGTAAATGCACGGCACGACTCTGATAAAGATAGACTAGTGCGTAACAAGGCACCTCCTCTCTGACTCCTTGCTCCGTAATCCTTTATCCCTGTCTTCCTACTTTCTCGTGGTCTCTGAGACATCTGATGAGGGTTCCACACAAAGACCTCACCCAGAGAGTCACTGAAGTAAAATCAAATTGCTTCTTAAAGTGAGAAGAAAAGAAACAGGAGTCCTAAGGTCTCCCCAGCCAGCCCCGCTGGTTATTAATGACCTCCCTCCACATATAAATATTTATATACATGTAGGTGCTTCTATGTATAGGTATATTTATATATGTGTTTATATGTGTATGTATATATATTTTTATATGTGTACGTTTATATTTAATCATGTGTAGTGTAAATATTATTTATATGTACGATGATAGAGATGATAAATAGATACATAAATACATAGATAGATATGATAGGTAGATCGACAAGTAGATAGGTATTTACATCTGGAGCAGACAACAAAGAAATAGTACCAAAGAACACCGGACTGAGAGCCAGGATCAATATGGCAGGCTTCCTTGGGCTCAGGAGGCACTGAACCCAGCATAACTATATTTAAGCCTCTGTTCCTATTTGCATTGGATTCTCCTTATATTGTTTCCCAAGTCCGTGAAAAATAGCTTTCTTTGAACTTTTAACTACTGCAAAAGCTAAAGGGAGGAAATCCTAAACCCAGACTGAAGGGATTCTGGTTCAAACCCTGGTTCTGCCGCTGGTTAACTTTGACTAAAAATGGGGTCACAGCAGCTACACCACCAAACTAGCTGAGTTAATGTATGTGAAAGGGCCCAGCACCCAGTTCTGGACAACCAGGTGAGGGTCAGTCTGTGGAAAGCTTCCTGGTTAGAAGAGTGTCTCAAACCCTCAGAAAAGGTATCCCAAGAGTTGGGATATGCGGAAGGGAGAAGAGGAAGGAGGCCGCAGAGAAAGTGAGATGGATTAGTTGTGTGGACTCCCCTGCAACCCCCTCAAGGACCCAAGAGCAGCACTCATCTTAGAGTAGAGCCGGGAATCGCCTGAGCTAGCAGAATTGCACTGTTGGCTAGAGTTTGTTTAATTTTATAGAAAGCTATGGGCTCAAAGCCAAAGTATATCATGGTATGTATTATTCAGACAGACTTGGGATAAACTGTCATAAAGCTAAGGAGGCCACTTGTGGGGTGTAGGCTAGGGGTGGGGGGAGTAACACAGGAGCAGGATAGGGGATAATTTTGACAAAGCACAGGGGAGTTTGCTCTGCTCTGCACTTAGGAAGGGATGGGGCTTACCACTACCATCATAGGGAGGACTGGGTTTGTTCTTGGCCTTCAAAGGAACTCAAGGGGCTGAGAGGACAGACCTCAGACAGGCTGACCAAATAATCTTCTGGAGGCAGCTCAGATGGATGAAGTGTCCAAAGACAGACTACACTGGGCCCCAAGGAGGTGGGTGAGGAAGGCCACTGTGAATAGCTGTCCCAGATTTGTCACAATGTTGGGCACACTTAATGAACATCAACAGTGAGGATGCTGTATAGAGTATACCAGGGACTCCCAGCTCCTGCGTCACTGTCAGGACTGAAAACCCAGACACAGCGAATCCACTGGAGGAACCAGTCTCACCATCTTCCAGGCTGGGAAGATGGGAGTCATCGCTGAATCTTCTCTTCCCTTCAGCCTTCTGTCTACTCTCTCGCAAGGGTTGGAGAGATAAGAAGTTGAGATTAAGATTCTGGAGTCAGTAGATCTGGTTAAAATACCAGCTTTGTACTTAATGCACATGAGCTCGGACAAGTTATTTACCTTCTCTCTGAGCCTCTGTTCCCTCATCTTAAAAATGGAAATTATAATTATAACACATCAAAAGATCATTGGGAGGATCGGATAAGATAATAAATGAAAAGCTTAGCACAGTGCTTGGTGAAAAGAAAGCATGCAGCAAATAATGAAGGTTGTAGAAGGGGGGAGAAGGGCAAAAGGAGGAAGAGGAGGAGAAGAAGGAGCAAGAAGAGAAAGGGCTGCTAAGAGGCAGCTCAGAATAGTAAGCAAGAGCATAGCCTTTGCTGCCAAGCAGGCAGTTTCAAAGTCCAGCTCACCCACTTACTAGCTGTGTGACATTTAAAGCTCCCTAGTAATTCTAATACATATCAAGGTTGAGAACTTCTGAGTCACTCTTTTGGCCCAAGAATCTAAAGGGCCAGGATGGAACCAGAAGTCACCACTGTAGGCTTTAGGATCAGGAGCTCTGATTTAAAGAGAGTTGGGTTCTAATTCTGACTCCACTCTTTATCAGTTGTGTGACCTTGAGTAAGACCCTTAAACTATTTCCTCAATTATAGATAAGAATAACATGATACCGGGGGGCGCCTGGGTGGCTCAGTTGGTTAAGCAACTGCCTTCGGCTCAGGTCATGATCCTGGAGTCCCTGGATCGAGTCCCACATCGGGCTCCCTGCTCAGTGGGGGGTCTGCTTCTCTCTCTGATCCTCTCCCCTCTCGTGCTCTCTGTCTCTCACCCTCTCTCTCTCAAATAATAAATAAATAAATAAAATCTTTAAAAAAAAAAAAGAATAACATGATACCTACTTCCTAGGATGGTTTTATAATTTAAGGGAAATAATGTCTGTAAGGCATTAAGCACGCTGGACAGCAACACTCAAATGTTAGCTATCGCTGTTACATACAATTTACTTCTCCCCTAAGCAAAGTTGACAAGCATTTAGCCTCCTCTTCCAGATTTCTTTAAAGGCTTAGATGAATGATTCTGAGAGTGGCCAGGACTCAGAATTACCTGTAGGGATTGTTAAAATGTAGAGTCTCAGGTCTTACCCCAGGACCTCAGTAAATTTAGGTGGGGCAAAAAGTATCTGTGTTTTCCAAAACTCCCTGAGGGATTGTGACAGTCAGGACAGGGAACCACTGAGCTGGAGCATCTTCCTGTGACTGCCATCTTAATTCTACTGAAAGACACAACTTTACTTCCAATTAAATCACTGCTTCTATCTCCATGGCAATGTCATTTCTCAAGTTAAAAAAAAAATAGTAAAAATAAAACAAGATCCTAGTGAGATCCTAGGGTTATTAATTGCCTGTATTTGCCCTAAGTGTTTGGACCCCAAGTGTAGGGGCAAATTAACCATGAAGCTAGCAAAATAAAATTTCCACCATGGGGTGCCTGGGTGGCTCAGATGGTTAAACGTCAGACTACTGATCTGGGCTCTGGTCATGGTCTTAGGGTCATGGGGCGAGCCCCACATTGGGCTCCCCACTCTGTGGGGAGTCTGCTCAGGACTCTCTTTCCCTCTGCCCTCCCCACCGTGCTCTCTCTCTCTCTCTCTCTCAAATAAATAAATAAATCTTTAAGGAAAACCTTCCGTTGTAATGGATGAAAACCACTGTCCTCCTCAATTTTGTATTCTCCTCATATAGTATTGTAGTGGCTTCAAGTATTTGGGGGCTCCATCAAGAACCTGAGTTAGGGCATGTGTGTTGTTTGGGTTTGGTGGGATATGTAGAGATGAGGAAGGAGGGTTGATACTTCTAACACATACCACATGAGGAGAATTATAGAGACTCTGGGGGCACCAGCTTTTCTCTCAAGTGGGAACTGAGATCAGAGGGCCTAGCCACTATTAAAAATGGAGACATCCAGGCCCAAAGAGGGGAGGTGACTCTTCCAAGATCACACAGCAAACAAATGCTAGAGCCAGGACAAATGTCCTGAGCCAGTTTTTCCCACCAAACTAGCTTCCTCCCACTCTCCCCAGGCCTGTCACTTTGGCTGCTGACCATGAAGCTCACCTTGGCTATGATGCGGCACAAGGGAGCCCCCTCCTGGGTCAGGCTGAACAGGTTCCCTGTGGTGGATTCCGTGATGTAGATATTGTCGGAAGCATTGATTTTTCTCACCAGCGCCTAAGAAAAGAGAGCAAAGTCTGAGGGTTATTCCCTCCATCTAATCTTCCTTAATGGACCACCAGTGGGTCCATGCTTCTAAGCCCCCCGGAATCTATAGCCCTGCCCCAATCACAGTCCCACTATAGGGGGTGATGAGGTATTCTAGCTTTGGAAAAGACATGAGTCTGCATGGGGTCCGAACTACATTTCAGGAATATGGGATAATTTCAAACCGCTGGGACATGGACAACCAATGTGCCCTGTTCCAATTGATAGAAAATCAGCTCTCAATACTGATGGTCTGAGCAAACTTTGTTGTTCTACTGGCTTCAAATAAGAACAGAAACCATCAGTTAAATAAGCCATCAAGTTGAAAACCAATGAGTTGCTACCGCTATGACCGAAGAGCTGGTTCATTTGCCAATGGCAAACTCCGGCTGGGTAATGGGTTCAGCAGTTGAGTCAAGAGAAGTAGTCTACAGTAGCTTACAGCTCAGAGGACATTTGTATAGTGTATACAGCCAGGCCAAAATACCAACCCTGGGAACCCTATCAAAGAGTGGGTAACTCGGGAATGTCGGACTGCTCGAGGCGGAGGGAGTTAAGAATCATGGTTAGACAGAAGGCTGGAAATGACTGAACGTAGGACCCAGGGAGAACCAGGAAGAAAAGCAAATGGAAAATTCATCAACAAATGAGACATAAAGATTAGTTTAGCTTATTTCTGGGAAAAAGCTTTTTCACATATCTTGAAACTACTTCATAATCAGCCATTTGCTTTGAAGCATATGATTCATTGATTATAAATGATTCCTACCTGCTAATTAATTCTAGCTGCTTGAGTTTCTCCTGGGAGATGTGGAGATAGTGATTCAGAAGAATCGCCTTGGGGGGCTTCATGTGAGAAAGTAACACCTCCAGAGCCGCTGCTCTGGGCAACTACTCGTGCAGTTTCAGTTGCTATGTTATTTTAAAATATTAAAATGGATTTTTTTTTTATTAAACCTAGCGTTATGGAAAAAAAAAAAAACACTTAAAAGGAAATGAGGAGATCTGAGGCTTAGTGCCAGTTTGCCTTTTTAACACATTATGTTGATGAGGAAGTGTGTCTGAGGTTGAAAGCAGGGACTCTGGAGCCAAATTGCCCGGGTGCAAATCCTGGCTTTGCCATTCTGCCCATGTGCCCCAGAGCAAGTAAATTAACTTTTCTATACTGCAGTTTCCTTATGTATGAAATGAGGGGGAAATAACAATGTCTCTCTCTTATGGTGGCTGTACCCATTTCTTAAGGTAGCCAATATATAGCCCGTGTGTGTGTGTGTGTATGAAGGATTTTTTATATAACATATATATTAATTATATATATTATAAAATATATGTATTATATATATATATAGGACTTTTTATATAGGACGATATATATAGGACTTCTAAAGGCTCTTGGTATATGGAAACAAAATAAAATTGTTAGCAGTTATTATTTTGTGATCTTGGGCAATACACACCCTAGGCCTCAGTTTCCCCATCTGTAAAATGATTAAAATTAAGTGGGTTTAAGGCTCCAGGTAAATGACTCTCCTTCTCTCTTCTTTATTGAAACTCCTAGAATTCTTCACACACACAATATGCTAATCCTCTATGTAAAACAGTCTAAGTATGTATTTAATAAAACTACATTAAATGTAAAAATTATTCCCTAAGATTTGATAGATGCCTCTTGTAAGAGATTCGACAAAAGGTAAAATTAATAACCAAGATTTGTCACTGCAAATCTCTGTAATGAACGCACTTCTTAGAATCCTCCCCCAGCATACCGTAAGCAGTTACGTAAGTGATAATAATGCTCGCATGAAAATGCCGATTTCATATATTGGGGTCCTGTACCTAAATCATAATTACTCAGTGTTCTTGATTAGTGTTTGCACTTCAAGCAAATTAGCATGACGTTAAACAATTCAATCCAATGTCTTTTGCAATCATCTGCTAACATTAGACCATTTATGCTTGAGAATAATTTCTTGCTAATGCTTATACACACATACACCGTAATTATACCTCAGATCATCTCGGTGAATCAGCTCTCTGACAATGAAAAGTAATCATCCTTTTCACAAAGATAAATTTGGAAAAATATGAGATCAAAGGCTCCACTGAAATCGTCAAGGCCCTAAGCATCACAGTATGTGAGACCAGAAGGGCCCTCAACAGTCTTGTCCAACCCTCACTTCATACTTCAGGAAACTGAGACGCAGAAATCTGACCAAGGTCACGCACGTGATATGTGGTGGAGTTAGTTGGACCTTAACTCCTGTGAATCCGACTTCCTGTTTTCCAAAGTCAGTGAGTCCATCTCCCTCAAAGTCAGCAGAACCTCACCTGGACCAGCAAAGATAGAAGTCTCAAGACATGGAGAATATCCAGCCTCATTAGCAGCTCTCACCAAACTGGAGAGGGGCTCTCATTAGGGATCCTACACATGACAGTCTCCCATTAGCATCTACAGCCCCATTAGCATCTACAGCCCTCTGCCCTGTGGTAGCCAGAGCTCCTGCTGCCAGGGGCAGCATTGACGGAGAGCCTCCAGCTACTGCCCCTCTGGATCTACTCCTGTGTCCTTATTGAGGCCATAGCTCCCTGAGCCACTCCCAGCTGTGACTGATCACAGCAGGGACACTATTGCAGCCCATGGCTGTTGGGGGAGACTCCTCTAACAAGTGACTTTGGTCTGAAAATTCCATGTCTCTTCCTACTCAAGTCCTCCTTCCCCCTTTTATTTCTGTTTTCAGACCTGCACCATGGTTTTCCATGTCTGCCCCTGCTACCCGCCCCCCCCCCATCATTGACAGGCATTTATCCCATCCTATCTTGGTGTCAGCTTCAAACTACTACAGTCTCTAAAATCAAGATTTGTCAGGCAATCAAGGAGGAACTGAAGAAGTGTCAAAAATATGCTTCACCCTGTATCATAAGAAGAGTGGTGGAAAAGAGACAAAATAAAGGAACAAAGATTGATGAAGCTGAGTGACAGAAATATTGTTTTAAAGACAGAGTAGGCAGAGAGGAAACAACAACAACAAAAAAACCAGAATCTTAAAGACCAGGAGAAAGGAATAGAGAAGAGTTAGGGAGACGCACACAATCTAGCTGCTCTAAATAAGGAATCTGCAAAGGAAAAAATATTTTTAATTGTCCCTCAGTCAGAAAGAGCGACTGTAGCCCAGTGAAATTGATCAGGAGAGGTAAAGTTTCACATATCAACCTGGAATGAGTTCCTCAGAGGCAGCCAGGAAAATATTGTGAAGGCTCTAGCTAAAGCTTCAGATAGAGAATCCATAGCTGGGCATAGTTAGGGCAGCCCGGCCACGCAAAGGGATTACATAAATGTGGGCTGATGTGACAGGGTGTGGCAGATTAAACATGGCCACACATTCTTCGCTACTCCTCCCATAGGCAGGTGGGCTCTGGTACCCCCTGCCACCACCACCTTTTAAATCTGGACTGGCCTCAACGACTTGCTTGACCAATAAAAGCCAGCAGTTGGTAGAAGTAATGTTCCAGGACCTCCAAGGCTAGGTCATGAGAAACCTTCAAGCTGCCCCTCAGGTTTCTTGGAACATTCTTTTCAGAGTCCTGAGTTACCATGTAAGAAGTTCGGGAACTCTGAGACTGTCATGTGTAGGATCCCTGATCAATGCTCTCAGCTTTCCAGCCATCCCCTCCGAGGCACTACACATGTGATGAAGCTTTCTAAGACTCTCGGAACCATCTGCTGGCTGAATAACACCAAGGGACCTCTGTTGATGCCACGTGGAACGGAAGAATCACTCAGCCAGGCTCTGCCCACATTCTTCATCCTTCAGATAAGATGGAATAAAAATGGTTGTTATGCACTAACAGAGTTCTGGAAAACAGAAGACTACAGAGAACAGCATGAGATATCTAAAGGATTGCTAGATAAATTTCTAGGTGAAAGGTTTTGAAAATGAGTATACAATATTGCCTGTGTCCTCAGAGAATGTATTGGAGAAATGCATAAATCAGGCCTCTGAGGAAAGGCACAGAAAGACTGGACATACTAAAGAGGAGACAGACAAAATCATAACTGAATTCAGTCTTGGATTACCTATTGTTCTGATGGGAAAATATCTCCTGGATTGGAATATCCAATTTAGGGAGGCAAATGTTGATAAGATCTCTTAGAATTGGAGGTTTGGGGCAAACACAGACCTTAATTGATTTCATGTCTCTCAATAAGGCAAATTCCAACATCTAGAAGAGTTTTGTTTTTTTTTAAACAAAAGAATGTGTCACAAAGGAAGGAGAAGTCAAGGTGGTAAAGCTCAAATCCAGCAATTAGTGCTCATTCTATGAGTTAGATAAGGAAAGAGACCAACATGAGAAGCAGGGTAAACTGTCAGAAATTCAGCAGAGTCTCCCTGAAAGAAGGCGGGGATTAACAGAAGGAAAGAGAATCCTGGAAGCATAGTTCATTAATGCAAAATAAAAAAGATGTAGCAGAAAGAAATGCTACTCAAGGTTAACATACTCAAAACGTATGGACAGACTGTGTTCTGAGAAGCACATGGCAGAAGGGCTTGTCCTCACAAGGCTAAAAATGTCCAGACTCCAGGAGCATCACAGAAAACCCTCCTTAGAAGACAGAGGTCTTAAGGCCTAAGCGATTCTCCGGAAAGAGGCGGGGACAATAGCTTTCATGATTTAGAACTAGAGTGTCTGTGTATCCTAATGCAGTTTTTTATTTTCTTATTTAGCCCTAAAGGAATTTTAAAAAACATATGACCCCTTGCACATTTTTTTTAAAGATTTTATTTGACAGAGAGACAGACAGCGAGAGAGGGAACACAAGCAGGGGGAGTGGGAGAGGGAGAAGCAGGCTTCTTGCTGAGCAGGGAGCCCAATGTGGGGTTCGATCCCAGGACCCTGGGATCATGACCTGAGCCAAAGGCAGACGCTTAACGACTGAGCCAGCCACCCAGACGCACCACCCCCACCCCGCACATTTTTAATTTGACAGGTAAAATTTTTCATCATAAGTTTCAAGAACAAAGTTGGAAAGGATATAATTTCCAGCAGATTGTAGATATCGACATAAAATAAGACCATTACATCACTGTTTTAGATGCGTTCAGTGGAATTTAAATACCAAAACAACTTGATGCCCTCATCATCCCCTTAAAAATGTATGAATAATCTTTTTTTTTAACATTGTGAGCATTTTGCATCTTTTCTTTTCATCCTTAGTGTTCCCAATCCAATCCCTCAGAATTGTATCTTAATGTAATACATTTAAGTTTCAAAGTGTTTTATGGACCACCCTTGTCATATTTACCACTGACATTTGAAATTTCATTTTATTTCCTGTGACTATCAGGCTCTAAGTGCTTAAAAATACTCTCTTCTTGGGGTGCCTGGGTGGCTCAGTCAGTTGAGCATCCAACTCTTGGTTTCGGCTTAGGTCATGATCTCAAGAGTCATCGGATCGAGAACCACATCAAGCCCCGCATAAGGCTTGGCACTCAGAGCAGAGTCTGCTTGAGATTCTCTCTCTCCCTCTCCATCTGCCCCTCCCCCTGTTTGCACTCAAAATAAATAAATAAATAAATAAAATCTTTAAAAAATACTCTCTTCTTGGTTGAGTTACTGTTACAATTATTATCAGTACAATTGGTCAAAACAACATAAATTACAAATTTTGATTAATAATTACAAATTATAAAAATTAAAATGTTATAAATATATGTCTTAATGAGATAAATGGGGCTTTGTATCCTTTTTAGGCTTTCTCATTAATTAATGTATACATGATTGAATATTGACTTAATGCTATATTTTTAGATGTAAACCCTGAAAAATCTTGTTCCCATAAATCCATAGAGAGGAATGGGAAGAGTTTATATAGCCAAGTTGCTCAACCCTTTGAGCACATTCTGAGTTATGCAATCACATGGTGAGCCATCATCAAACACCATTTTTAATGATCTGCCAGTTGATAACTCCTCTAAATTGGTAAAAGCAAAGAATTGGAAACCACTTGACTTGCAAAAGCATTTGTTACCCAATCATTAGAGTTGTTCATTCACTATCTCAATTTCTGGGAAGAATTCCAAAAGTACTTTACCAAGACTTTTCAAATAATTATTAATTATACCCATTGCTCTTTCAGTTGGAGCACCTTGGGTTATCCAAATTATTCAGAAAGGATTAGGAAAATCAAAATATTATTACTTTCATTGCCAATACAATTTTTAATAAAATATTTGTGTTTGTTTCAAATATGTTTTATCAAAACTTTGAAGCTACAGCTTTTGCTTATTTAATTTATGGAAAACGCCCACCCTATAACCTAATTGGCAGACAGTTCTTTCAGCCAAGCCAATCAGCCAAGACAACTTTTTCTCAATATAGAACTGACTTCATTTTTAATTACAAAGTGTTTAGATATGTTTCAAGAAATGCTAAAACAACACTGACAAATAATTATAGAAATCATTCTCCAAGGGAAAATGCTAAAAACTGTTAATATTAAAATAATGTAGAGCTGAAATAAAATTTGGTTTATTTGTATATATTATAAAGCCAAGATAAAACAATTTATTAAACTTTTAATAATGCAAGGCAATATGTAGCTAACATTGTAAATTACTTATAAATCTAGGAATGTAATAAAAAGGCATTGTATTTTTTCAGTAAATAGGTGGGTATATGTATTGAAATTTGGTGTTCATTTTAGGAATAATTAAAATTTCAGAATAAAAATATTAGAAATTGGGGCACCTGGGTGGCTCAGTAGGTTAAGCATCTGACTCTTGGTTTCAGCTCAGATCATGATCTCAGGGTTGTGGGATCGAGCCCCATGTCGGGCTCCATGCTGGACATGGAGCCTGCTTAAGATTCTCTCTCCCGGGCGCCTGGGTGGCTCAGATGGTTAGCGTCTGCCTTTGGCTCAGGTCATGATCCCAGGGTCCTGGGATCGAGTCCCGCCTTGGGCTCCCTGCTCCTTGGGAGCCTTCTTCTCTCTCTCTCTCTCTCTCTCTCATGAATAAATAAATAAAATCTTAAAAAAAAAAAAAGATTTTCTCTCCCTCTGACCCTCTTCCCACTTGTGTGTGTGCATTTTCTCTCTCTCTGAAATAAATAAATAAATAAATATTAGAAATCATTTGATTATTTTAGTAGCTCAAATGATCAAACTTTCCTACATATTTAAAGAAGGAAAAAGGTATTTACTGCTTAAATCTAATTAGTCCAGCTGCTAGCAATTAATTTTATCTTTTGCTAACAAGAAGTAGAAATTAGTATAAATATTTCACAAAATAATGTTGACAAAATAAGCTTTAACTGCTTTCTTAAGTAATGTGTACCATATCTGAAAAAAAATCATGTAAAACTTGCATCTGTGGATTTTATCCAATATATCTTGAAAAACTTAGTCATTCTCAAAAGTATTCCAGCATTTAAAAGAATCGGTATCATTAACCTTTAGAATCTTTGGCTCTTCAAAGATGTTTTCCTTTCCAATGAATGACATATCCTAGGGTTGAGTATGAGATATAGTTGAAAGGAATTGCTTGCATTTAAATTTGTGCCCCCAAAAGCCATTTTGAGTACTTGATGTGTCCAACCAGTTCTCTCTTTGCTTTGTCTAACAAGAAGTAGGCACTCAAGAGCCTTGCACAATCTGGGAGTAAATAGAGATAGAAGGGAAATGATAAATTGAAAACTTTCAAAACCACCCCTCTTACACACACACACTACCATTCTACCATATATCTCCACACTGGGCAAAACACAATTTCTAATGCCTTTCTCAACAGAAATATGTAAGAAAAAGCACAGAAATAATTCATGGAGGCCTATGGGTTTATGGTTCAGGAATGAAGGCTTCTTCTTTGATCTCCCCAATCCTACTGCCACTCCAAGGTTTTACACAGCAGGGCAATGCACTCTAAGATTTGGGATGGGTGGGAGTACGTCCTTCTTTTGGAAAGTAATAGAAGGGATGTTAGAAACTGCGTATTATTGGGAGGATCATTTTGGGAAAAAAACAAAAATTGAAGATCTGGAGATAGATTTCCTTAAAAGTATATATGCTTGCATTTCTTCTAGAAAATCTTTGGGAACCTGGAGAATGCGATGCCTTTGAAGTGGTTTGAAGACTTCTAGCCAAAGGTACTTCAAGAAGCCCAAATCAATGCAGCCTGGGGTGGCAGAAACAAAGTGTTTAGAGGGGAGCTAGAAATTAAGAAATGTTGAAAATGCTGGATGGGAAAGTATGCAAACCAAGCAAGTCATTGGGAAGAGATTATAAATGCCTGACTTTGCAGGAAGAAGTAAACATATCAAATGCCCTTCTATGAAGAAGGAGACATTTTTCTCCCATATGTAGTAAACATGGTGCCGCAGTTAACCTATGGTGGATGCTTTTCCCCAGTGAATGAATTTCCACAAAGCCTTGTGGATGATGGACAACTGAAATAAACTGATCTCCTACCACAGATGCCATCAAGGTGGTGCCTGTTCCCAACCCTCTGTTGCTCCACTGCAGGTGAGGATGTGTTAAGGCCGTCGGCAACCCTAAGATAAAGTCCTAGCATGAAATGTTGCCTGGAATTCCTGCCTTAGGGGCTGAGGATTGGTCTGTTTTAACTCTCCGTGAGTGCAGGAGT